CAGGGTGGCTGGGCTCAGCCTTAGAGATAGGGTGAGGAGCTCGGACATCCGGGAGGGACTCGGAGTAGAGCCGCTGCTCCTCCACATCGAGAGGAGCCAGTTGAGGTGGTTCGGGCATCTGGTAAGGATGCCTCCCGGATGCCTCCCTTGGGAGGTATTTCGGGCATGTCCAACCGGGAGGAGACCTTGGGGCTGCCCCAGGACACGCTGGAGGGATTACATCGCCCGGCTGGCCTGGGAACGCCTCGGGGTTCCCTCGGAAGAGCTGACGGAGGTGGCTGGGGAGAGGACTGTCTGGGCTTCTTTGCTGAGGCTGCTGCCCCCGCGACCCGGACCCGGATAAGCGGAGGACGACGAGACGAAAACACTGAAATAGCAGTTTCAAGTTACACACTAGTGTTTCTGTGACTGTGTTTGGCATGTCACAGACATGCCACTAACCCAGAACCTGCTAATGTGCGCTCACCTATTTTCTCTGATAACTTCAGATCCAGACATTCAGGAAGTTTTTACCGGTAGTCAAATTATCTGCAGAGGTCTCTTCCCTCCAATACAAACTGATTTAAATCAGTAAAAAGCAGAATAAAGCTTTATAAAAAGTTTTATGAATTTAAAAAAAAAAAAAAAAGTGTTTGGTTTGTCTGTTCTGGGCTACTGTAGAAACATGGCGATGCAACATGGTGATCTCTGTAGACGGGGACCAGCTCCCTATGAAGATATAAACGGCTCTTTCTGAGGTAACAAAAACACAACGCAAAACAAAACACAATTCTTATTTTCAGGTGATTATACACTAAAGAAAACAGACTGATTATATTGTGTTTCATTTCTGCTAAAATATCCCCCAAAATCCTACTCACTGGAACTTTACATTCTGTTTTTAAACTAGTTCTAAAACCCTTTGGGAAACAAAGGTTTGGTTTAGTCAGTAAAATACAGAGAGAGAGAAAGAGAGAATCTCTAATACTCACAGAACACACCTGCTGCAGAACAAAGTCCTAAATATTTTGAACAGAAAAGGGGTAGCTGATTGCTTTTACTCATCATAGGCTTATAGAAACCTTTTCCTTTCACTTCTTCCCTTTCTTCCCTCCTTTTATCTCTCTCATCTTTTTATTCTGACCATGAAATACAAACCAAAAACACTAAGTAAACTGAGCTACATCAGACACCAATCCAATGTTAATTGTCATTTGCCTGTTTGTAATGACTGTAATGTTTGTAACAACATCTGTTTTCTCGTTTAAGGGGAGGTTTGCTAACAAGTAGGTGTGTAGGTGCAAGTGTAAATGACAATGAATAAATATATTTTAAACTGTAATGAATACATTTTAAAAGGGATGCAAAAGAACTCTGAGGTGAGATACTAACAAGTCCTCCAAACTAAACAACCAAATAAATTGTTTCTCACAGCCCTAAAAACCCATATTGATGATTTGGTTTTTTCACACTTTTACCTATATCTGTGTTTCCTGATCTGACAACTCTGTTGGCAGGGTGGCGTTCCTTTCAAAATCAGTACTAATGACCATTTCAGACAAAAAAGTTGTGACTTTTTCCTAATCTGGCAAGATCTAGTTGGGTTTAGGCACCAAAGCTACTTTTTAGTTTAAAAAACAAACAAACAAACAAAAAAACAAACAAGAGATGCAACAGGGCTTTTATTCCAAGTCCGGTTTTTAATGTAGCACAACGAAACTTTTTTTTTTTTTTGGAGTGTCAG